CCCAAAAAAAAAAAAAAAAAAAAAATTCACTGAAGCCAAACAGACTCTCACAACGATGCCAGCTGGCACACTGGTGCCAATGGGTTCCTAGAATACTAACCTAGCAGGGGAAGCCTGTACTGAAAGGGGCCTGCCCTCCAAAAAATAATTCCGTTTATTTTTGGGGTCCCCCTTGTGTAGTCTGGATGTTCGTTTCCACCAAATCCCGTGTTGAAATTTCATCCCCAGTGTGGTGGTCTTGAGAGGTGGATCCCTCAAGAATATATTAATGCCCTCCCTCAGGTGGGGACCCGGTGGTAGTAAGGACTCCCGCTACTAACTCCTGAGAGAGCTACTTGTTAAAAAGCGCCCTGTCAGCCGGACTCGGTGACTCAGCCTGTAATCCCGTGCTTTGGGAGGCCGAGGTGAGTGAATGGCCTGAGCCTGCGGGTTCGAGACCCGCCTGGGCAACTTTGTGAGACCTCATCTCTACAATAAATCAAAAAATCAGCCGGGCATGGTAGCGTATGCCTGTAATTCCGGCTATTCAGAAGGCTGAGGCGGAAGGATCGCCGGCGCCCAGCGGGTCGAGGCTGCAGTGGCCGGGAGCGGCCACTGCACTCCAGTCTGGGTGACAGAGTGAGACTCCGACTAAAAAAAAAAAAAAAGAAAGGCACCCTGGCACTGGCCCTCTTCTCTTGAGTGGGATCTCTGCATACATAGTGCCCCCTCACCTCCTGCCATGAGTAGAAGCAGCCTGAGGCTTTCACCAAATGCCCAGTCTTCCAACCAGCAAAGCAATGAGCCAAATAAACCTTTTCTTTGTAAATTGCCAGGTCTCCATTTTTCCTTTATAGAAACAAAAACAGACTAAGACACCCCGTAAACTCTGTGATCCAATAGTCCTGAGGAAGTATAACATAGGTATTCTGGTAAGTCAGTTATTCAGCCATTAACTCAATAAATGAGTGTCTACTTTGTGAGGGGCAAAGTGCCAAGTGCCAGGGATACAACGATAAATTCCTTGCCTCTAAGGGGTCTACAATTCAGTGAAAGGAAATAGATGTTATAATTTAAATGCTAAGTGCCACGATCCAGGGATGCACAGTGTTCCATGGGAACAGAGGGAAGGGACACCTTCAGGTCACCTAGAAAACTGGATGGATGGTAATGTCACTCATCCAAACTAGGGCTCCATGAAGAGGAGGAGGAGGAGGAGAAGTTTAGGGGAGAAGGTAATAAGTTCAGGTTTTGTTATGCTGAGTTTGAAGTGTTTGTGCAACTTCCAAGTCAGGATGTCCAGAGGCAGTTGCATGAACAGGCCTACAGCTTAGATGAGAGGTCAAGGTTAGAGACCCATACCCGGAGGCCATTAGCACACAGGCAGTAGTTGACAGGCCATTAGCACACAGACAGTAGTTGATGATGTTGCCTTGGAAGAGGGCATAGTGTTGAGAGGCGCTGTGAAACACCATCGTCTAAAGGGCAGACAGAGGAAGAAGAGCTGGAAAGATAACCAGAGAAGTAGTAGAGATATATAGGCTTGGAGTCAGATGTGAACGAGTAAGATCAGAAAAATCAAGATAGGATTTTCAAGACAGTCTCAATATCTTCAAAATATGAGTTTAATGACAGAGTTATCTACTATTCCACAAAAGGACTGCCCTATTTTCAAAAAATTTGCACCGGGTCTTCCACATGTGTTAAGAGATAGAGAAGATAAATTAGAACATTATACTGCACACCTAATGCTAATACTACCAAGCACAATATAACTGTTAGACAACCTGGAAGGCACTTTGGGATTCTTTTTTTTCAATGCCTCAGGGCATCGTTCTCAGCTCCGATTATTGTTGCCCTGGTCAACTGTGGGAGTGCTGATAAATGGAGAGTTAATTGACCAACGTATAAAGCAACCTTTAAATGAGAGGCTGGCTAGCAGTGACAGAGAAAGGGTATTCGGATCCTAACTCAGGCTAGGAAGCAGCTGACCCAATCAGAGACATGAACCCATCAGGAAAAGGTAAAACCTTTCATCCTTCTGGTCTTTTCTCCACCCTCGGCCCCTACTGATGCATATGTGAGACTTGTCATCTAGAGGGAAAGTCAGAGAGCAAATCATCCTCCCATCCCAGATTCTAATATACTAGAAATGATGGGAACACCTGTATCTACGTTTCAGGGCCTCTCAATAGCCTTCCAAAGGCTTGGATCTGAGTTCATAATGGTCTAGCTCACGAAATTTCATAGGGCCAAGAGAAACAGATTTATACATCTGTTTCCAAGGCCAAGCCTTTCCTAAAAGGAATCCTCTTGGCTGGAGGAGGGGTCCCAACCGATGTGGTAGGAACGGAGGGGGCTACATGCATTAATTGTGTGTCTTCCTGGGCTCTGATGATAAGGTCACTCCATGCTTGTGTGCTAGCAAACTGTCAGTTCTGTTACTGTCCTAGTCAAAGGCAACAAGTAAACCTGTGCTAGGGGATGCTCCCCCCAAGACCGCCAGATTCCAGCACTGCCGTGACCCGCGATGGTCTGACAAAGAACAAGAGCTGTTCCGTGACAGTCACGACCGCCCACCTGGGAATAACTCCCCGCCTATCCCTGCTGGGTGGGATTGCTGGGTTTGGAAAGGCATTTGCTGAGTGACGCTGCTCCTGATGGGAAGCGAGTGGGAAAGGAGATGCTGGAAGGGGGGAAGGAGTGGGTGTGGGTGTGAGCCAGGGCTGCTTGCTGCTGCCGCCTTGTGCTGTCTGGACGTCGTGGGGAGCTGTGGTTGTGCTTTCCTTTGAACGATGTGGAGCGGGGGCTATTCGTCCTCATCCTCATCCTCATCACTGTCATCATTATCCTCGTCATCAGAATCGTCCTCATCGTCCTCGTCCTCTCCGTCTTCACCGTCACTGTCATCATCTTCGGTGTTTATCTTTCCAGAGAGCACATCCTCAACCCAGTCCTCCAGCTCTTCAGCTGTGGGCAGGTCGTCGTCATCTGGAATCTCCATCCAGACACTGTCAGCCTGAATGAGAGACAGAGTGAGGGGGTGAGGGAGTGAGGGAGGGAGTGAATTAATGACTACACGAAGGCTGAGCCAGACCAGTGAGTTCCAAGTAGCCGTGCTGTGTGGCCCTGGGTCTCCTCGACATGTCAAAAACGTGCCCATAGTTAAATGGAAATGCCAAGTTGCAGAATAGGATGCATGGTATCCTGTTTGTGTGACATAAAAGGAAATGTGTATTCCATTACCCAGCTGAATATGTATACGACATTTCTGCTAGGCTACCCGTGCAACAACCGCCCATGGCTCCCTTGGGAGTGAGACTATGGGTTGCACCAGGACAGGGTCCGAGTATCCTTTTCACTTTCTATCCAACTGTTCTATTTTAAAATATTTTAAGTTGAGCATATTTTTAAAAAATTACTTGCTATTATGATTCATTTAGAAAGTAATTTATGAAGTAAATGAATATAGAATTTCTTAGGTGCGTGAACACCTACCAAAAAGGCAAAAGGACATGGCTAACTGGCCCCCACTCCGAGCAGATTCTGCCTTAATTAATTTCAGCTCTAATGATCCTCTATAATCTTCCGCTGTTTGTATCTATCCTCACTTCTGTTTTGTTATGGTGGAGTTGTATTGAGTGTCAGGGCTGAGGTCTAAAATTGCTTAGTCCACCTCACTAGCCTGTTCTACCCTCAGTTCATGGGTGCCTGAATTCTAAGAAGTTCCTTACTTGCGTGTGTGTGTGTGTGTGTGTGTTTCCTTCCCTTCTGTAGGCCTGGCTCTTGGCTGTGGCATAGTTGCCTGCCTGGGCTTCTGGGCCACAACTGCCCCTCCACCCGTTGTGCAATAACAGTTCCAGGTGTGGGTTCTCTCGTGTGAAGAGACCTTGTTGTTTGGCTTTGGGGGAAAATACAGGCGTTTACTGGGGCGGAAAGCTCCATATCACTGGGTCAGGTGAGGATGGTCCAGTAAGCAAGGAAATGCATCCAGAGAAGAGACATGGGACCCCAAATTATGGCTGGCTGGGAGACCAGGTTTGGAATCTCCTGGCAAGTTTCCTAAGCTTGGGCAGGACCAAAGGTCCTGCTCATCTCTGAAGAGGGCTGGGCTTCCGTAGATGATCTCACAATCTAGGCTGTGTAGCAGAAGACAGGGCACTCTGGGGATGCCTGAGCAGGCCTTCAAGGGGGATACTCACATCTGTCACATTCACCACCCCGATCTGTGGCCTGAATAGGTCAATCTTGAAAGTCTTCTCCCAGTAGGCAACCAGCTGCAGCAACAAAAATGAAGATGAGGCAGCAGACAGAGGGCATTCCCTGCTAAAGCCACTTTCTGTGGCTGGGCCCGCCCGTCATCCCATCACATCACCAGGCCGTCGTGGGTGAAAGGTCTCCAAAACAGCTGCAGGCGCTTGGGAAATTGGAGACTTGGCCCCAGCCCTCAAGTACTTTAAATAAGCATTAAATAAAAGATGTCACAGCACAAACTGTGGAAACATGTAATAGACAAGTTTCTACAGCTGTGAGGAAAAATATTACAGAGATGGTCTAATGTGGATTCCCAAATTACCCGTGGCTCTTTTATAAATTAAAGAGCCATTCCTCTCCACCATTGAAAAAAATCCCAAATCTGTCCACTCTTCTTCATCCTCTGTCACTCGGAGGCTGCAGTGCTCTCGCGTTAGCCACGGGCGTCGGTGCCTGCCTCTTCCCACCCATTTGTTCTCATCACAACAACCACAGGGGGGAAAACAAATCCCTTATCTCGTGCCACTCCGCTATATGAGTTGGCTGGGAAAGCCATCATGTCCCACGGGTTGGCACGCGCGTAAGTCAGAGGAGCGCAGAGAGCGTCTTCGTTCAGTCAGGCGTGGGCTCCAGGTGGACCCATCACTGACTGGGGAGGGACTGAAGGAGCAAGGGGCCACAGGGCTGAGAAGACGGAGGCATTCAGTTTAGAAAGTCCTGGGGAAATATACGGCCTCATGGAGACGGGGGATCTTCAGGCCGTCAATCAGAAGAGTCTGAAGATTTATCCTTTGCAAAAACCCAGGCTAGCATATAGAACTGGCCAGAAGAACTGCAGACCATCTGCAAGCTTACATAACAAAATGGATAAACTAGAAATACCACCAGGCAGAGGCTATATAAACAAAGCTGTCCTGCATGCAGTCTTAGATGGCCGTGACTTTGTTATAATTACCCAGTGTTACAACATTGGTCTCAAGTATCATGAAGTCTTTACCTTTGATTCACCCATCCTTACAATTGGATTGGTTTTCAGGACCTTTGAGATTCTTAAACTCTCTCAATTTTCTTTTTTTCTCTTCTTCCCTCTCTCCCCTCCCCTTCCTTCCCTCCCCTCCATCCTTCCCTCTTTCCTCCCTCCCTCCTTCTTTTTTTCTCTTTCTCTCTCTCTCTTTCTTTCTTTCTTTCTTGATGAAGCCTCACTTGGTTGGCCAGGCTGGTCTCAAACTCTTGGCCTCAAGCGATCCCCTTGCCGCAGGCTCCCAAAGTGCTGGGACTACAGGTATGAGCCACTGTACCCGTTCTCAGTTTTCTCTATTTAATCACAGTATTGTCAGCCATGACCTATGCAACTAATGATAATTCCTGGAAGATAAAGTTATCATTTATAACCTAATGATAACTAAACTGGTACTGATTACCAGCGGTTAACTCTTACCTAAAACAGTCACTAGACCAAGTTTGGCATCACATAGAGCTAGGTTGGGATATCACAACCACCACTTACTAGCTTTAACCTCTCCAGCTACCATTCTTTTCATCTGTGTGATAAGAATGATAGTAGTACCTACTTCGTAGGGTTGCTGAGAGGCTTAGCTGTGATGATGCATGCAAATAACTTATTCTAGGTCCAGACGTACAGTGGAGTATATTAGCTATGTGTATTATTCTTACCGCTGGGTTCAGTCTATGCAGTGTAAAATTCTGTCTATTCATTGACACTGGCAAGAGTGTGGACTTTAAGATTCTCACGCATTCGTCATGAGCTAGATACTATGCTAGGTCCTACGGAGAACGTGATAAACAAGACAGGCGTACTCTCTGCCCTCAGAGAGGTTACTCTTTCTCTGCACAAAGTTCCTAACTCTATGCAAAGTGTTCATCTCTGATTTTTATTATTAATTGAGGTTGCCTTGGAATGATGGTCCCCACCCAAAAATAAAAGCAGCTCTAGGGAGGAATAGTGGTGAGCCCCCCAAGGAGCTTCAACTCTGGTCTCCAGGGTGTGAGATGACTGCATCTAACCATTTCAGTGTCAGCCCCAGATCCCAAGTTCAATGCTGCCCCAAGAGCCAAGATCTCCCATACTGGATGGGGTGGCCACTGGGTTTCTTCGAGTGCTTCTACATTTTTCACCTTTTCCTCCATATCTGAGGGTCTTGTGCTAAACACAGACATGGAGCTGTGATGACCACTGAGGGTGGGGCCCTGGCCAGAGTCACTCACCAGAGGAAAGTCGTCTGGGTCGATCCACAGGATGCTCAACTCAGGGTTGTCAGTATTGTCCCGGGCAACCTGTTTCAGAATCTCCAGGAACTCGTAGCCATCTGAAGCAAGATTCGAGAAGGTTGAGTAACCCCTGCACACACATGGCTTCCAACATGGAGAGCCGAGAGTGTGGTTTTTCCACGAGGGTTTCTTAGGCCATCTGGTACATACCCTCAATGATAGGATTATTCTATAAAATGAGTCAGATAAGAGCTCCAGTCACAGAGCAGCTTATACAAAGGAACCAATAAAAAAAATGTGAACAAAGGATTTAAAGTTCACATGGAGCTGGCTGGTTTTTAACTGGAAGCCAAGCTTCATTTGTTGATCTGCTTGTGAAAACTGACCAAATGGGGTCAGAAAGGTCAGGCCCAGGACAGAGGAACTCCTGCCTGTCCTCAGTGATCCTGTGCCCGTTCTGGAAACAGATCACTTGCTGTCCCACAGAGTTCCTTGTAACATTTGCTCTTTGGACCAAGAACACGTAAGGCTAGACCCTTAGTTTTCCATGACCGGGAATTCCTAAAACCTTCAGACCGAGAGAGCTTCTGCTTTTCAGTCGGCTTCCTGGCTTTGAGATAGCGAATGGGGTTCTCTCCCTCCCTCACCATTTCCTTGTAACTGTGCCCTCCTCCAGTCAGCAGGAATCTTCATCTCCAGGGAGAGATGATTCATAAGAAACGTGGAGACAAGACTCATAAACTTCCAGAAAATAAACTTTTTAGCTTTAAAAGCCTAAACTGGAAGGACTGGGAACATACAATTTTTGACATACACAAAAATGTTTGGAGAATGTGTAGTAAGAGATAACATTCTCTCAACCCTCAATACCATCACTGCCCCCCACCACTAGAAACAGAGAAAGAGTTTAGATTCTAGAATGTTTCTGAGAATAAACTGTGTCTATCTGAGTGTGTGTGGAAGAATACAAGCCATGTGTATATGTGTGTCCATATGCAGAATCTCCATTATTTCGGGTAATCGATGTATAGGAGCAACATACATTATACGAGAAGAGACCCAGAAAAAAACAGAATTATTTTTTGTGGGGTGGCCCCTTGCAGTACAGGCTTTCCCCACTAGGTAAGTCTTCTAGGAACCCACTGGCATCGGTGTACCATCTACCGTTGTTGTGAGAGGCTGCGTTCAGATTCATTGAATTTTTTTTGGAGATTCTTTCAACACATTTGCCCATTTCATGATGGGTGGTTTACAAGCACACCTGCCCACATCATGCTGAGTGTTCAGCAGTTTATGTTTTTTTTTTAACCCTATGACTTCTGTGCCCCACCCTCCCTATTCACCCAATCTCACTCTGAGTGATTTGGCTTTTTTTTTTCTGAGTAAAAAAAGTCCTCAAAGGGAAATGTTTTGCCCATATGGAAGAGCTGAAACAAGAAACAGCAGAAGCACTAAAAGGCATCAACACTGATGAGTTTGAAAACTGTTTTGAGCAGTGGAAAAAGCAGCTTGATAAGTATCTTACATCAAGTGGAAAGTACTTTGAAGGTGACCGAAGTTTAAACATGTAAGAATAAATACACACATTTTTATAAGTAAATTCTGGGTTTTTGGCATTCCTCCTTGTATACAGGAGTGTTCAATGTATAGGAGTATGAGAGATCCATGTTTTGTTTTAGAATGAAACTCTGGAAAATGGAAAGATCCCAGAATCCCTTTGAGAACCCCTTAATGCAGGTGCCCTGGGGCAGAAGGTCTGTTAGAAGGCCCCGCAGAGTTGTCTGTGGCTCTGAGGAACACGGCCACGCTGAGATCCTGTGGCTGAGATGGAGAGAGCTAGTGGCGGCCTGTTTGCTCAAGAACCAGAGGTCAGACACAATGACAGACTTCTTTGAAGATGCCAGTGTGGACAGATGGTGATGACTCCGACCAGAGGTACACCCTACCCAGTCACACCTAAGAGCCAGCAAGACCCTGGATCCCTTGGGATGGTGGGATGGGGATGGGAGACCAACACTTTTTAAACCTGGTTTCCACTATTCAGTGGAAATAGAAATCAAAATAGAAATTTAGGTCTAAACAATAAAGTTCTATTTCTTGCATAGCTGAATTTCTGGCTTGAAATACATACTTTCAACGCAAGCAATTCACCAACTGTTTGGGAATTTAGCATGTAACTGCCTTTCCTTTGCAATTTTTCTTCTTCTGCCCAGGATCCCAGCAAACTTGACTCTGTGGCCTCTGTTTAGCAAGCCTCTCTTCTCTCCAGCATGCAAGGCTTTGTGTGGCTATTTTGGACTCTGGGTATAGATTTTTCTCTACACTTCCTTATCGCTAATGTATTCCAGGCAAAACGCATGCTATTCTTAGCAGCTCTGCTTTGAGTTGGTGTAGTCACTCTAAATGTTGCTAGCTCACAGTAAAGATTCAGACTGAGCCCTCCCAGGCCTTATTACCTGGAAAGCAGAGCAACCTCTAGTGGAAAAGAGGGTCTTCGTGGCATGCAGCCCCTTTCCACAGGTGCAGGGTTGGCCAGGGTGACTTTTCAATCTATGTTCTTAACTATATTGCTTATTTGCTTATGATAGGTCAGATACCTGGGATCGATAGGACCCTAAGCTTTAGAATTCATCGATCTATCATCATGGGGGGACAGGGGTGGCAGTGGGGGTAGGGTACTACTCTTGCTGCCTGTGGGGGCTGAGAAAGCCAAGTCCCTCCAGAGTATCATTGACTGCTCTGTGTGGACACTATGGCTCCTTGTCTAGGCATGCGACTGTGTGCAGTCTAGCACCGGGAGTGGGTTATATACAGTCTTGGATCCGTGTGGTTAAGAAGGCGCTCACAGAAAAATTCCTCCCCAAGACAGTATATCATGGGAGCAGTTCCTTCTGGCTCCAGTTTCTGATTCCATAACTGAAAGTTTCATGGATGGTTGTGCCATGGTCCCACCCTGGTTATCTGCAGATTTAGGGTCCATAATGCATAGATGATGGGAGGGGGATTCCCCCAAAACAACTTTTGTTACTATTTTCAGCTGCAGAGAAGAGAAGAATGATTATAAATGAGGTGGCAGTGCTCTGGAAGATGAGAAAGAGTTCAATGTAAAAAAGGACCTTCACAAATCTGAAATTCACAAAGAGGGTGAAATGCTACCACACAGACCAACTGCAAGGAGAACGTAAACGTGAGGTACAAAAGATTGACTCACATAAAGGGAAAGGAAAGACTTCCCAGGCACAAGCCTTGAGTGGGACAAGATCCATGATCAGAACTACAGACTGATTACACGACAGAGCCCTGCAGTTTTCTGATGGGAAAATCCCATGCCATGTTGGGAGTTATAAAAAGGAATGCTACATACAAGAACACACATACCACTTTCCCAGTCTACATCCCTAAGCAGGTTCAGAGAGGAAAAGGAAAAGATTGAAGAAACAAAAATTGGATCCCACAAGAAAAATCATATGGATTATGGGTTTTATGGAAACAAGTCAGAAGTGTGGTTTAACACCTGTTTTTAAGAACAGGAAAGGTTTTTGTGAGGAGAATATTCCTTGTGTCTACAGAGGAGCAAGAAACTCTCAAAAACCATTCCCAGAATAAATTAATAAGACGGACATTAAAGCTAGAGAAGCTTCATTAGACTACTTTCAGGGTGATGGATTCACTAATGGGCAACTGTCTGAGTCCCTAAATATTTTCAAAGCACAACAAAGCCTATCCTTCAGGGAGGCAACCCAGCATAACACTTAAACACATGGACTCTAGGGCCGAATGACTTGGCCCAAATCCTGGTCGTGCACTTGGAGTGTGACTTAGGGTAGGTTATTTAACATCTGTAAAACGAGAATGATAATACTAGAATCTACTTCTTAGGGTGGTTGTGAGTTAAGTAAGTCAGTGTCTCTGAAGCACTTAAACAGTGTCTGACACAAGATTCAACCATTATTCTTCCTAAATTACCTTACATTCTTATGTCCGAACTCACGAAAGCTGAAGGGAACTCTCTAAGCCTGGCTATTCATCTGTTTATTCAACACATATACATTCAGTGCAGTCATCTGGGCACTGGGAATGGTTTAGATACAATCTTGGATCCCTGTGGTATGGAAGATACTCACAGAAAATTCTACCACAGACAGTACATCATGGGTTTCTTCTGGCTCCAGTTGCTGATTCTGTGACCAAAGGCTTCAAGGATGGCTGTGAGCACCCTGCCTCAATAACTGGGGGTTACAGCAAGGTTTAATGTTTTTGCTCTTAAATCATCAGCTAGCTTGGAGATTCCTGATTCGAGGCTGATAAGCCTCCAAGGCACTCCCTTCTTCAGATCCAGCCTTGAGTACAGACCTGTTTGAATGGGTTTTCATTCATCTGGAAAAGCTGAGTTAAGGCAGCTAACCCGGTCTCACGTGTACTCAGTTGCTAAAACTGTAAGTTACAAGTTCAATTTCCTCCTGAGAGCTTCTGTTTTTGTAAAACTGGCAGGTGCCCTGGAAACAGGAGTGTCTACTGCAGATCCTCCCTTTTTGACCAGGAAGGCAGGTGTAGCAAGCTTCATTTCACTTTTGTAATTTGACATTAAGTACAGGACTAGTCCACAGTTGCAATTACATGACTTGAATGAATAAGTTTGAAATGAGCAAATGTTTCCTTTGTCAGTGATGGACCTGGCTCAGAGGACTTTTAAGATTGTAGTCAAGTATCTTTCAGAAGAAATTGCCCTTCATTCCAAAAAAGTATGTTGAGAAAAAGTGGGAAATGTGAGTCAAAGATCTGTAGGCTAACAGCTATCTAAACAGAGACTCGACCACTATTCTCTGCGGTTATTAGAAAAGCGCCAATTCTCAGAGCCAGAAGAAACCTTCAGATGTTCTAGTTATCCAGGTAGGTGAATAGCCTCCACTCAAAACGTATGCTATTTTTTTCTCTTGAATATTTCCAGGGCCATGATCCTTTGACCTCTCTAAAGGCTGATTACAGAGTTGATAATCCTAACAGTCAAGAATCTTTTCCTTGCATCCAAATGAAATCTCCTTTTTCACAAGAAGTTCACTTGCTTATTTCTTCCTTGTGGACATAGGGCATTGTTCTT